GGCCGGTTGTATCAAGCCCGTTTAGCTTAAACGGTGGTCGGTGGATATTTCAAAATAGAAAGCAAGGCTAACGTTTTATTCAACAAGATGTTTTTTACCTTGATACAACGATACTGTCTACAACTACATATTCAAAGCATAATATTCAAGTTGACTCATTCCAGAGAGATGTAAAAGTGTTATTTAATTTTGACTTATCCACCGTTTATAAGCTAAACGGACAGTATATTATTATACAACGAGCAATGTACATCAAATAGAGTCAAAATTGGCCGTCATTCTTCTATTTTTATACAAGAGAGAGATATAACCTGCCTTAACCAAACAGTTTTTAATTTCCATACGTTGGAGCTTGAGTTAAAATTCATCAATTATTCATACATACCTGACGGACTTGAATTCGCCATGTTTTATATACATACTGATGTCTGATGCGCATATGGTTTCAATAATTGTATAACCTGCGCATAGCGAGTTAACATGGGAGTTAACATTTAATGATTATCATGAATCCCATTTGGAGATCGTGCTGGTTTTACAGCTGCCAGCCTGTACATTTTAGCCATCAACTACGGCTATCAGCTGTATGGCTTAGATGAACCGGGTGATTTTTTGTGTGTTTACCTCGCATTTTACTCTAAAAGTTTAAGCGAATTTATGCAAAAGATTTACAATAAAAGTTCAAGATACCTGCTTTAACCACTCTCTTCCGCAGAGGCTTGTTGAGTTTTCGAGCATTCTCGTAAGCTTTTCAAGCATTTATATTTGTCTTACACAACGTTTACTAGAAAAGGGAACATGCACCGGGGGAGGCGGGAAGGCGAAAATTGAGAAGGGAAGTCTCTGCCATATAATGCATCGTTCTGTAAACAAACTAGCGATTCTTTGAACACAACATGGTGGAAGCCAGTGTATAGAAGAACTTGAAGAAGCTTTCTTTTCAATTCTTATCTATCAAATTTACGTTTCGTTCATTTAATTTCACTATTTACAAAATGTCATTGAACTAGAAACCTCGTTTCACAACCTGGTATTCAAAGTACAGTGTATGTTTATACATGTTAATACATGTATGTAAACAATTATCGATTGCATGGCTGCTCAAACATTATTATTTTGTATAGTGTTCAGAATATATCTGACAATCTGCTAATGACAACATGCTAATGAACGCCATCTTGAAAGCATTATATGGCAGAGGCTTCTCAAATTTCGCCCTTCTCTTCATTCTTTGCGCGCTCTTGTTGCTTTCTCTCGAAACGTTGTGTAAGAGAAATATAAATGCTCAAAAACCCGACAAGCCTCTGTGGAGGAGAGTGTTGAGAGAACAATCATATAACATCTAACATCACTAGGTTATTTCATCCTGAACATAAAGAACCAGGGAGTGATCACAACAAGAAATGCTCACATTGAAGAAACCATCACTGAAGAACCAGATAGAGAAGTACCACCGATGCAGCCAGACCATCTCGAATCACCTGACACCCCCACGATCAATGACGAGCCGAATACAAGTGACAACGAACCACGTTCTGATGAACCCGAGGGAAATTCATCCGAGGCAAGTGAAGAACACCCTCGACGTGACATACATCCACCAAGACGCTTCGCGGACTATTATCTAACAGCGAACGTCGACTATGCCTATGCTGCTGTGCCCATTATACCCACTTCTTATGAAGAAGCAGTTAACTCAGAAGACGCCGAATTATGGAAAGCTGCCATGGACGCCGAGATCCAGACTCTCGAGCAAAATCAGACATGGGTCCTCTCTCCTTTGCCACAAGGTAGAACCGAAACAAAAGGGCGATGGGTATACACAATCAAACAAGGAAAGTCCGAAAGTGAAGTGCAATACAAGGCTCGATACGTCGCAAAAGGGTACTCACAAACCCAAGGCGTCGACTACGATGAGACATACTCACCAACAACTCGTTTCACGTCAATTCGAGCATTACTACAAAAAGCTGCTAACGAAGGTCTACATTTACATCAAATGGATGTGAAAGCTGCCTATTTGAACGCCCCGATCGACAAGGAGATATACGTGGAGCAACCGCCGGGCTACGAACAAACCGATAGTACTGGCTTAAAGCTCAGTTGCCACCTCAAGAAGTCCCTCTACGGCCTCAAACAGAGTGGCAAAAATTGGCATACCACACTGACCGCCTTCCTGAGGTCTGAGGGATTCATCCCCAATAGCAACGACCCTTGTGTTTACACTCGCTCCGACAGTAATGGTGAAAAGATCATCATCCTGTTTTGGGTGGATGATATCATAATCGGCAGCACCAACCTCGATACAATCGAAGCCGTGAAAGAGATGCTCAACAGCAACTTTAAGATGGACGATCGCGGCGAACTGAAATGGTTCCTAGGCATTGACTTTAAACGTCTCGAAGATGGAAGCTATCAGATGAGCCAAGAACGATATGCACAAGCAATACTACGACGCTTCAACATGTCCGAATGTAAACCGGCTCCTACTCCTGTGACAAAAGGGGCCACGCAATCGAGCACAGCTGATGATCAACAAAACCACAACTTTCCATACCGACAAGCAATTGGAAGCCTCATGTACCTCATGACAGCGACACGACCAGACATTAGCTGGACAGTATCTTGGCTATCTCAATTCTTAGAAAACCCAACTATGCAACATATTACAGTCCTCAAGCGAGTTCTCCGCTAGATACAAGGCACCAAATCATACAAGCTAAACTTCACGCAAACCGACGTACAGCTAACAGCTTACTCCGACTCAGACTGGGCGAACGATCCGAAAGACCGACGTTCCGTGACTGGTTATATTATCACACTGGGTGGAGCACCAATTAGCTGGAGAACCCGAAAACAACCTACTGTCGCGCTCTCATCATGTGAAGCTGAATACATGGCGATAACAGAAGCAGTAAAAGAGCTCTTGTACCTCCGATCATTTTGCTCTTCGCTTGGCATCACCATTTCACAGCCTGTTATCCTATTCTGCGACAATCAGTCAGCTATCGCCTTGACGCAAGGGAGTGCTCTATCACATAATCGTACGAAGCACATTGATGTCCGATATCATTTCGTACGTGAACAACAAGGTATCGACTACCGGCACGTCCCGTCAGAGAATAATCTTGCAGACATTCTTACGAAGCCCGTGACCACAACTTTACACGAGCGCATGGTCCGGATGCTCCAGATTGCGGGGGCATGTTGAGAGAACAATCATATAACATCCGGTGAACTTTAATACCGGATATGACGTTTCATTAAATTAGCGAATCATAAGATACTTGAACTATTACGTCATGAGAAAATCCTAAACGCATGTTGAACGTTTTTTACACAGATACATATATTTTCTTTTTACTCGTTGTTGTTACCAATATATTGATATTATTCCTTGGTGTAATAAATGTGAAAAGAGAAACGATGTCTCTCCCTTCAATTCACTCAACAGAGAGTGTGCTTTAACCATACCTCATAAGATTCATAATGACTTTCAATAAGTGCTCATTGTTTAGTGATAAAAAGGTATGTGAAATTTTAAAAACTTTTTGAGCAGTTGAGCTTGTATGCAAGCGCTGGCAAAAATAGAAAAATTACATTAGTTCGCTAATGCGAACATTCTAGACATGGTTGGTGAGGCAGTGAGACTACCATGTAAGCAAAATTTTTGTATCTATTTTCCTCAAAATTTAAAAAAAAATTTGTACACAAAACTATTTACATGTATTTTCTAAAATAAAAGATTTCAATGAAGGTTTGATGTTGTTATTGTCATGAATTACACTTATGAAAAAAGAACATGAACTCCTTAAGATTAACAATGTAATGAAACGGCCATGCAATGAACTTAAAAATCTTGAGAAAACATGAGAAAACATGAGAAAACAAGTCAAGTTACATTGTATAAGACAATAGAATTTTTGTGTCTTATTTTGGTGGCAATCACATGTGTTGTACAAATGTTAGAACTGATTAATTTTATTAGTACTCAATACTTTATATTAAATTTGCAAGTAAAGTATACTCGTTACATTGTAACAGTAATCTCATCAGCATTTTTCTCACTTGATGTTGGAGTGTTTGCCTTGTTTTGATCCATTGCCATGTTCTTTTTATGTTCACAAAGCCAAGAAAATTTTTTTTGCATGTCCATGTTGGCAAGAGGGGATGCATCAATGTTCAAAAACTGTCATGGTGCCTCCCTGGTGATGTATTGTGAAGGGTTGTAGCATGTTTAAGTCCTTTATCATGATACTTTCATCATCTTTTGATGGTCTTGAAGTTTGAGCTGTAGATTTTTTATGTATCCCAGTTTCAGCATCAAACTTTGTAACAATCTGCTCAACTCCAGCAGCAGACTTTGAGAGGCTCGCACAATTGCAGCTGAAGTTTTGTTTGCTACCATTCCTAGAACAACACTTTTGCATGTGCGGTTGCATATTTTTTGTGCAGTGTCACACTCATGTTTTTTCCTTTCCCTCCTGACCAATTTGCAAATCTTTGCCATCGTATTCTGTGTGCCATTTCTTCAGAAAACAATGCTTTCCTCTGTGCTATACTGGTAAACATCTCAACTGCATATTTTGAAAATGACCCATGGCTCTTGAAATATTGTAGCAATCACTTCATGTTTATGTTATTCCTTTCCCCATCCTATGGCGTTCCGTTCCGGTCAAAACTGCTTAAGAGTACAAATGAAATATGAAACACTATGGCAGTAAGTTATAGCTCGTTAAGTATATTCGAAGCACACAAAATAATGTCGTATTCACAAAATAATCTAACGAAACGTCCCCTGATACAAATGAAATCCGCAAAAACGTTTCCACGCGTTAGAGCGCGCGCGCTATGTACCCCAATTATGTACCGTTTCGTTGCACAAAATAAATTTCGTCGCCTAGCAACCGTACCGTCACACAAAATTAATTCGAACTTAACACGTGAACACAAAAAACACAGAAGTGGACTAGGGTTGATCATAAAAGGAAAATTACAAAATGGCGGCAATAAGGAGTCAATTGGATGAGTTTCAAATTGACGAGTTTTTCAGAGCATTACTAACTTTATTGCAATCATCTTTGAGTGAGAACCTGTCATTTGATTCGGCAGAGTTCTTGGCCCGTCGTCTTGATGCTTATGAAAGAAATCTAAATGTTTTGAATTCACGCCTTCGAGAAACGTACCCCGAGGAAGAACAGTTGTTAAGTGACTTGGGCCGGCTGATTAGAATTATTTATCAACAAAGAGAATTTTGCGAAGCTTTATCTTACCAAAATTTCTTTCTGGAGGAGCAACAAGGCACGCAATCATTTGTTAGAGTAAGTAGATCTGGATTAGGTAGACCAACAGTTGAACTATCGCAAGCATTATTAGAAGTTCTTCACGATAACGTTGGATTTTCGTGGTCTCAAATTGCTCGTAGTCTTGGAATATCTGAGAGAACAATTCGACGCCGAAGGAATTCATTCGCAATGCCAAACAACCGGTCGTTTAGTGACATTCTTGACGATGATCTTGATAACATTGTGCGTGAAGTTTTACGTATAACGCCTAGAATTGGCTATAGGCTCGTCCAAGGTGCATTGCGTAATCGTGGTTTGAATGTACAAAGACGTCGAATCCTAGATAGTCTACGAAGGGTTGATCCAGTTATGGTCACATTGAGAGCATCCAGAGCAATTATACGACGCCGTTATTCTGTTCCATGTCCAAATGCATTATGGTGAGTGTGAAATAATCAACATTAATTTGATTCACCTTATAATTTTGAATCACCTGATAATTTTGAGTTACAAGCAACTAAGAAAATGCTAATTGATAATTTTTCCACTGATATTACTATAGGCATTTAGATGGTAATCATAAACTGATTCAACCATATCGCTTTGTAATTCACGGAGGAATAGATGGCTTCTCCAGGATGATAGTATTTTTGAAGGTAGCTACTAACAATGAAGCACTAACTGTTTTAAAAGGCTTTCGAGAAGCTGTAAATAAATTTAACCTGCCTTCACGAGTACGAACTGATTTGGGTTTGGAAAATATAGAGGTTGCTCGCTTTATGCTCGAAACACGTGGTCTGAATCGTGGAAGCATCATAACTGGAACTTCTGTGCACAATCAACGCATAGAAAGGCTTTGGCGAGAAGTGAACAGTATTGTATGTTGTAGGTTCGTGAATATATTTTCTTGTCTTGAGTCACTAGTGCTGGATTCAACCAACGAGTTACACTTGTTTGTGTTACATTATGTGTACACTCCCCTTATTAACGAAGCACTTTGTGAACTTACTGAGGCATGGAACAATCATCCTTTGAGTAGTGAAAGGAACCTGAGCCCTCGACAGCTATGGGTGCAAGGTATGATTTCTGAAAGAAACACCAACTATAGTGCTGTGTCTAGTGTTCACAGTGGTCAACATATTGACTGGAATGAGTATGGCATTGATGAAGATGGTCCATCGGCTACATTGCAGTCTGATTACAGTGTGACTGTTCCGCAATCGCAAATTAACATAAGAGATGAGCATTTTGGTCAAATGGAACAATTAGCAAACCAAATTCATGATTTGGATGATACAGATGGCATTGTTGCCTTTCTTGTCATTCTTAACTACTTACAACAACTTGACTATCTTTAGCAGGCATAAATGTAGTATATTACTTGCAGTTTTTGATGCACATGAACACTATTAACACAACATCAATTGACAATAAAAAAAATATGGCAGATGTACATTTTACCAGAATGCACTGCAGTCAGAAATCGTTTAAAAAGCATTTTGAAGTTTTTTGAAGGACAGATATAAGAAAGGAGGTTATTTTCTTTGTTGTGTTAAAGTTTCATATCATTAGGTGATTTTCTTCGCATCGTTTGTTAGTCATTTATGCTTGATTCTTGCTATGTATTGTGGTAAAATGTACATGCTGCCATCTTTTTAGTTATGGTCAATTACGTAAGATAATCAGTAAAAGAGTTTAAGCAGCTATAACATGGAATAAATTAGTTGACATTTTTCCACTCAATTTTAACAGACTCTGTCTGTTTTAGTGAACCAGTCACAACTTATCAGTGTAAAATCTGGTCTTACTCAGAAAATATCCAATTGCCAACTGTTATTTTATGCTATATGCTGGAATTTTTTGTTAATATGAACAGAACGTTTGAGTTGAAAACACAACTACTTCATGGAACTTACGATATAAATCGATATAAATTACACAATGCCAAATCCTTCCTCTTGGGTATCTATCGCTGTATCCATGTTCTTTTTAAAATCTTCAAAACTTGTAACAGCTCCAGGCAATTCCAATTCCATTGGGCAGGTGTTTGAGTTAGGAAAGACAGAAGAGTTTTGTAGTACTGTTATTACTGATGGATTGCAGAAACCCATTGGTGGGACTGCATCAGCACCAGTTGCAAACATTAAAAGGCTATTTACCCGTGTAGCTAAATAAAAAACAAGCAGTAAATTTCTTATTAACTTGCAGCATATGTAATATCAGAGGGTGGCATGTTTTTGGGTATTTCAACAGTAAATTCAAAATATAAAAAATTAACAATGTCAATGAACTTTTTTAAATGCCATGAATCCTAATTATGACTGCAATTTACCTGGTAATTCCACATAACGGATAAAATGTTGCTTTACTTCATCATTCACATCTTCATACTCAACAAGGGAGAGAAACTCTTCTGCACTTAGTGGCTTCTTGGTACCAGCAAGAAAAAGTGGCTCAATTTCCTTTGGATGTTTCTTAATTATGTCGACCAATGGTCCCATACCACACACAAACTGGTCAAGCTCTGCTTTCCTTGAGAGTATAATTCCATGAAGGCAGAGCGAAGTCATGGCCTGAAAACGGTTTTCTAGGCTCAGAGCATGTGGAAATCCAGTTTCCACCAACAATTGCTGTACATCACCAGCAACTCCTTTCACATCGTCCTCTTTGCAAATGCTGTCTATCTATCTCAGAAGAAAATTAGTGTAAGAAATCATCAGGCCATCCAAACACGGAAACCATTAAGTTGTGTAAAGAAGAAAATTAAATAGTAAGAAATGAGAAACAGGGGACAAAGCTAAGGAACAAAATTAATAAACCGTAGTTAAGGGTGAAGTTTCAATTAATCTAGACTGGCTGTACACACCTTACTTAAAGCCATCACATGATCAAAATCAACAACATCATCTTGTGAAAGGTACTCTGTTAGGTCATCAGGGGTTGGGTTTTGAAAATATGAATACACAGACATTGGGAAATGGGGAAACCCTGGCCCCCCTTGCAATATGGAAGAAGCCACCATTCGACCAGCAACTTTGAAGAGGTTGGCACGGAGTGCATCAGTGTTATGCATTGGCAAAAAGCGATCATTTCTGCCCTCAAAGAGGCGAGGTGTTGCTGAAGGTGACAACAATGAACGTAGAGCAACGGTAAAGAATTCCCTCTTTGGCCCTCCACCATCAATAGCTGGCTCTCCTTCAAAAGTAACTTTTAAAGGTTTTGTGAAATCAAACCTTCTTTGCTTGAAGAAAGCTATGCAATCAGAGAAAATGGTTTCTCTACTCACAGTTAACCTTGATGGAGCAACAGGTGCTGGCTTAAATCTCTTTAGAATGTCTTGGAGGGATGCTGCATCATTCAGGCAATTAGGAGCATCATTACAGCCATTAGGAGTAACATCTATTAATAAATATATCAGAAATAAGAATGCACTGTGCAATTAGTGATTATTCTAATGCCAAACGACAACTAATCTAAAATATGCAATTGTAATGCCTCAAAAAATCAAAAACACTTAATACATACATGTTGCTTGTGCAGGATTACTTATAATGAAGTCTATTGCAGCATCAATTGTTACAGATTGTTCTGATGCTTCTTTCAGAACATCAGCAGGACAGTCAGGGAACATATCTCTTAATTGTTGGACTTCTAAATCACACAGAGTCCATGCATTTAGATTCATTGTTTGCTGACTTTCCATTGGAGCAAACTGAGACTGATTGGTTACACTTTCAGTGGCTTGATTGGTTACACTGCTGGTGGATGGATTGGTTACATTGCTGGTGGATGGATTGGTTGCACTGCTGGTGGATGGATTGGTTACACTGCTGGTGGATGGTTCGTCACTTGAAGCAAATGTTCTTATGTCATTAGTTCGCTCTGTTGTCATGACAATATCTTCCTATATTAATTATATCATTAATTATGATTATGTGCTATAAATTTATTGATAGAAATTCTTTAGTACTTTCTATGTTGATATAAAATGCAATAATGATGATTTCAAAACTATTTAACTATAGTTTACCTCATCATCTATATCAAATAAATGGCGAATGTAGACTGGGCCATTGCCAGCAATGTGTCTAATTATTCTGGCATTTGCCTCCTGCCCTTCTGCAAGTTTAACAGTAGTTATCTTGTTTCCCACAGATTTAACAAATTCAAAGCTAAAAAAAAGAAGTTGATTAATATATTAATATATACTGTAGTTGATATATATATGGTATGTATATATATGGTATGTATATATATGGTATGTATATATATGGTATATATTATTATATATATATATTATATATATATAAGGATTAAGAGATAAAACTTCAACGGACATACTTTTAAAACCATTTATTGAAAGGTTGTTAAAAACTAGCTACCAGACGTTTCGCTATTTACAGCTTCATCAGTGGATTAAAAGATTTTATCACTATCGTCCTCTATTTATACAAGTGAAGCCAATTACCAAATCCATTGATAACTAAATACTGATAATCCTACCTATACAACCGTTCATCAGATGCTGGGAGCATTTTTGAATTTCAATAGCCTCTATTATCTTACGTTCATTATAATGCCTAACGTTATTATGCATAATTTCCCATGTAATATGAACGCCCTCCTGAGGGTTAACATCATGTGATTTTAAATGTAAATATACTGTTTGTTTGTTCATCTTTAAATGTTCCTTTATTCTAGATCCCACTGTACGACCCGTTTCTCCTATGTACTTAAGATCACAATGGCCACAGAAAATCCGATATACAACATTTTTCCTAAGACACTGATTTTCTTTCAATGCCATCCTACATGTCTCGCAATTCTGCTTACAATTTAGACTTTCCCTGGGCGGTGCAAAAACCCTGGCCAATGGCAAACCACCAACAAACGAGACTTTGATGTTGCTAATTCCGGTATTGCGAATCACTGATAGCGCCCTGCGCTTAAGTTGCTCATTAACAAATGGTAATTTCAGATAAATGGTATCCGTATTCTTTTCCTTGCTATTATGTTCCTCTCTTGTAATACGTCTTACAACCGATGTTAAAAATCGTTTAGGATAGCCATTACTTCTAAAAATCTTCATGATCTTTCGTATCGAACGTCTTTCCGATTTTTTATCAGTAGAGCATATCATAGCTCTTTTAATTTCTCCTACGACTATGCCTCTTTTAGACGAGACAGATCCATGACTATCCCACGGTGTTATGGACTTACTATGTATGGGTTTAACATATAACTCGGTTGAAAACTGGTTGTTATGATCAAGCGATACTAATGTATCTAGGAAAGGTAATTTACTGTCTTCAGGTAACTCTATGGTAAATTTAATAGCATCACTAAGACTATTAGATATTTCTAATAGTTTATCCACATTCATTTTGTCCGATGTTAAAACTACGAAAATATCATCGATGTACCGTTTAAGTGATACAGCTCCTCCTGATTTCTGAATGATCTGTTCATCTATTTCATTCATATAAATAATGGCTAAGGTAGGTGCCAAGTTATTCCCCCTCGATACGAAAGATCATGAAGATTTTTAGAAGTAATGGCTATCCTAAACGATTTTTAACATCGGTTGTAAGACGTATTACAAGAGAGGAACATAATAGCAAGGAAAAGAATACGGATACCATTTATCTGAAATTACCATTTGTTAATGAGCAACTTAAGCGCAGGGCGCTATCAGTGATTCGCAATACCGGAATTAGCAACATCAAAGTCTCGTTTGTTGGTGGTTTGCCATTGGCCAGGGTTTTTGCACCGCCCAGGGAAAGTCTAAATTGTAAGCAGAATTGCGAGACATGTAGGATGGCATTGAAAGAAAATCAGTGTCTTAGGAAAAATGTTGTATATCGGATTTTCTGTGGCCATTGTGATCTTAAGTACATAGGAGAAACGGGTCGTACAGTGGGATCTAGAATAAAGGAACATTTAAAGATGAACAAACAAACAGTATATTTACATTTAAAATCACATGATGTTAACCCTCAGGAGGGCGTTCATATTACATGGGAAATTATGCATAATAACGTTAGGCATTATAATGAACGTAAGATAATAGAGGCTATTGAAATTCAAAAATGCTCCCAGCATCTGATGAACGGTTGTATAGGTAGGATTATCAGTATTTAGTTATCAATGGATTTTGTAATTGGCTTCACTTGTATAAATAGAGGACGATAGTGATAAAATCTTTTAATCCACTGATGAAGCTGTAAATAGCGAAACGTCTGGTAGCTAGTTTTTAACAACCTTTCAATAAATGGTTTTAAAAGTATGTCCGTTGAAGTTTTATCTCTTAATCCTTATATATATATATATATATATATATATATATATACCATATATATACATACCATATATATACATACCATATATATACATACCATATATATATCAACTACAGTATATATTAATATATTAATCAACTTCTTTTTTTTAGCTTTGAATTTGTTAAATCTGTGGGAAACAAGATAACTACTGTTAAACTTGCAGAAGGGCAGGAGGCAAATGCCAGAATAATTAGACACATTGCTGGCAATGGCCCAGTCTACATTCGCCATTTATTTGATATAGATGATGAGGTAAACTATAGTTAAATAGTTTTGAAATCATCATTATTGCATTTTATATCAACATAGAAAGTACTAAAGAATTTCTATCAATAAATTTATAGCACATAATCATAATTTTCAATAAATGGTTTTAAAAGTATGTCCGTTGAAGTTTTATCTCTTAATCCTTATATTATTACCGGACATGGAATTTTCATCAAATAGATCATATATATATATATATATATACACACTCTGTATAATATATATACACTCTGTATACTTACTCTGTTGTTTCAGATAGATGGCTTTTAAAAAGATTGAGGAGTTCCGATCGCAATTGCTGTTCAGACCAAGACTTGTCTAATGACCATGCGTCAATGAATAAGTTCCTGTTTATCAAATCTTGTTTAATATGCCGTCTGGGAAGCTCTTGCCAACGTGGCGATGGCAACAAACAGACATCTTTAATAATAATATCTGCCTTAGATTTACTTTTACTGGCTTTCGCTGCTGTAGTGTACGGCACAAAACGTCCATTGCCTGATCTTGGTAAAGGTCTTGCTGAACTTCTGTTTTGACCACGAGGAAGTCGGAATCTCTCTGAGAGTTCTTCGTTAGCAGTATTAACATTCCTGTTTTCACTGTTCCTCGAACTACCCCGTGTTTCGGCACTTGCAGCAGGCAAATTTTGTAACGAAGAAACAACCGATCTAACAAGCTGAGTTAAATCATTATTTACTTGATTACTCATATTATTATTCATATTATTCATATTCTCCGCCATATTTGTTGCTATGTTCGTCAATAACTTTTACTTCCGTTTCCTTTCAAACGAAAGAAGATCAACCCCAGTCCACTTCTGTGTTTTTTGTGTTCACGTGTTAAGTTCGAATTAATTTTGTGTGACGGTACGGTTGCTAGGCGACGGAATTTATTTTGTGCAACGGAACGGTACATAATTGGGGTACATAGAGCGCGCGCGCGCTCTAACGCGTGGAAACGTTTTTGCGGATTTCATTTGTATCAGGGGACGTTTCGTTAGATTATTTTGTGAATACGACATTATTTTGTGTGCTTCGAATATACTTAACGAGCTATAACTTACTGCCATAGTGTTTCATATTTCATTTGTACTCTTAAGCAGTTTTGACCGGAACGGAACGCCATACCATCCCCTTCAGCACATGGGTCTTTCATTTGCATTAAAAAGACTGTCAGCTCAATTGCATTTAGGTTATAGTATCTGAATTTTTGAAATAGGACATAATTATATATATAATCATGTTTAATACAAGGGATAATAACTTTCCAATAGTATATACCAACAATATATACTATATTTGCAGTGCACATATCATCTTTATCTCAGCCTAATTAATAATGAGAGTGTGTCATGTGTCATATATATCAATAGGCTTGGATGACCAGTCAGGCTGTGCACCATCACCAGTATTGTTTTTGCAAGTATCTTTCTCAGCATAGTCATGATCTAAAACAATGTTCTTTCTTGTTTGCTCCAGCCATTTTTTATACTGACAAATTTCCTCTTTTTCAGGGTCAGCCATGACATACTCATCAATGAATTCACCAACAGCTCTGTCAAAATATTCTTTTTTCTTTGCCAAAGATTGATGGGGTGTCTTCATTGTTCCTATTTCACGCATGGAACTTGCTTTGTACAAGTGATCATAGGCGAACTATTAAATGTAGCGGTAATTAAATTGAGTAGTTTCACTTAAGTGCCAGTGGCTTGGCCAGCATCAAAATGGGGGGGCATATTTATGATGCGCATGTCCAATTCCTTCTGAAATCGATTGTCTTTTACTTTTTGTTAACAAAAATATATGAATAGGGATCCCCCTAATTATCAGTGCTGGTTATGTTGAAATTTTAGCTACTGCATTACCCAATTTTTGAAGAATTAATAGTAGTAGGTTAATGATGTTCGAATAAAGGCCGATGTACGTATGTCAAAAAGCATCCTTGATTCTTTTTATTGCACATATTAATATTGTAGAACACTTATTGCATTTATGCAACCCAAAGAGAACTCAATCAAAAGGTCTTTAATATATTTTTAATATAGGTTAAACATGGTAATGGCCTTCACCTTGATCCTAAAATAGTCAAGAGGTATTCATCACACAATTACCTGCACAAAAGCCATCTTTGTGTGGAACATTTCTGTAGTGTGCAGATTGCGGACTGCAGTGTTCAAACCGATCCTGAATTTAACATCTCAGTTAACAACACCGAGAAGGCACTGCAAACTCTTTTCAACTGCAGGCCCCGACGAAATTAGAACAGGGAGTCATATATAATTTGTGATTTTATTTTGATGAAATTTTTTGATCTAACAAATAATGATTAACAAATAGATAAGTAAATATAAGTATAGGTTACTTTGTGTTTAAATCATTCTATTTTTGTCGCATTCTATGTTAATTTTATAAATGTCTGTTTTACTTACTTCTTGCCGGGTCTACGCATTCTACATAATCTTCAAATAATCATACATAAATCAAATTAAACAGTTTAGCAAACAGAATAGCAGTCCTTTTCACACAAACATGCTCTCGCATCTCAACCTAAATCAGTTCAGTGTATACTGGTTCGTATTACCTCAAGAATCTCGTGCAATTAATTAATGAATGTCAATCAAAGTTAATATTATTAAGTTCCTACTTATAGTCCATCATCGTTTCGAAACATCCTCAGGCCCTGACAAAGCAGAATGCTTTGTCCTCATTCTTTGTCTCCTTCCGCTGGATGGATAACTGCGATCCCTTCTTGTCCTTTCCTAGAGATACTTCAATCATGCATCCAATTTTCCTCGTACTGCTGTTCCATCTTGCATCATTACAATATTGTCAATTTGTACATTCAATTTTGCTGAATTCCATTTATTTCTTGGGACCAACAGTGGAAACATGTCTCTTGTCCAGCGTCTCCAAAACAAATCTACTATTCTTTGGATGAATTCAACTCTCTTTCTTGGATTCTTCATTTCTTGGAAAGGACATTGCGGAACCTCAGGTGACGCTCTTGTTCTTTCTAGCATACCTTTCTATATAACACTTGGTTTTAAAGTCAAGTCTAAGAAATTCATTTTGACAGTTTTCTAGCCACTGTTCTTTGGTTTTGAAGTCTTTATCTTCGACTATTAAGTTTCCGTATTCTTCATGTTTCGAGACTACATTGTCAAATGCCTGCTTCACTTTAGTAAGGTACTCTTTTACCTCCTTTGCTTGTCTTTCACTTTCTTGTAGAAGCACCAATGCTCTTTACCCAGTCTCGTCAACGAAGCTTATGCCGCTCGAAATGTATCTTTGCCATTTTAAGTGCCTCTTCACTCATAATAATACATACAGGAATTCCATGCTCAAATTTTTCTTTAGAAATAGAGTGTTATAGAATATCAGGTCAGAAAGTAGAACAGGGAGTCGTATAATTTGTGATTTTATATTGATTAAATTATTCGATCTAACAAATAATGATTAACAAATAGCTAAAAAACTCAACCTAAGTCAGTTCAGTGTATACTGGTTCATATTACCTCAAGAATCTCATGCAATTAATTAATGAATGTCAATCAAAGTTAATATTGTCAAGTTCCTACTTAGTCTCTCATCGAAACAATCATGAAAAACATCACAGCAACGGCACAAGACCCACGTCTTCGATGTATCTTCGCATGGTACAGTTCCCCCAAGAGATAGTCACGGACAATGCGAAAACCTTCTGCTCCTCCCAATTCACCAACCTCATGGCAGAATTCGGAATCAAGCACTGAAAGATAACCCCTCGTTACCTGTGTGCCAACAGAGAAGCAGAAAGGCCAAACTGCAGTATCAACAAAGTAGTGAAGACCGCAGTCACCAAATCCTGCGACTGGCGTAAAGCTGTCAATGACTGGCTACTGGCGTACCATACCACTCCTCACACAGTTACGGGACAGCCACCGGCAGACATCATGTTTGGACGCAGGATTCAAGACAAACTTCTATCCTCACCTCAATGTCAGTGACCAGTGACCACAAGAAGTACCGTCAGCATGATGAGAAAAGCAAAAAAACTTCCAAAGATTACCACGACATGAACCAAAGCCTGCCACCATTCAAGTAAAGTGGGTGATTCTGTGCTCATACGCTCCAAAATGAAAGGTAAACTGACATTACCATGGCACACAACAACATTCTGAGTTACAGCCGTAGAAGGGGGATCAGTCACAATCGAGAACGATGGGATGGGCAACGCTTTATGCGCCACACCTCTGATGTCAAGAAAGTACCGACTTCAGACACTGCAAAATCCGACGTCACCTCTGATGCCAAGAAAATGCTGACTCCAGACATGGCTAAACCTAAACCACCTTTAGCAGGCCAATCAAGGACCCGCCGATCAGCCTGGCAGCAGCCAGCTTATTATGGTTTCCCTCCAGTCAAATGAAATGGACCAGTCCTCTTGTCATCCAAGAAGGGGTGAACTGTAGGGACTGTTACATGAAGTGTAAATAACACAGGCATAGGTCAGCGGGCTTAAGAGAGCTCAGTGAACTCAAGCGAGAGGACTGACATGTTGATATTATTTTAACACGGGTTCTTTATATTAATGTACAAGACTTTTCTCAATAAATAAAGAACATCTTTGCACACAACACCAAAGTTTTCCCTTCCAAATTCCTTATTGTTACAGCTCGTCTTCTGTCTGCAATAGACAGCAATACCACATCATGAGAGGCATCACAATGCCCTTGATCTTCAGATTGATTTGGTACCCTTTTCATTTCTTCAGGATCCGATTCTGAGTCATCTGATATGGAGTTACCAGTACCTTCAATTGTGTCACGATGAATGTTTGATAAATCATCAAGTTTCATGCAATATTCTTCCAACCAGAGACAATTTCTTCAACAGGAATGATAACAGGCATTTCATTGTTCTTAATTGATACTGACATAATATACTTTAACTGATGTTGGCAAAAGTTTGAAATATCTGCAGTGCCTCCAATCATCCACATTCCAGTGCTCATCCAGGCAGAAACCAAATACATGGCAACCACTTCCATTTTGGCAGGATTCATGTGGCTTGTTGATTTGTAACAGCCACCATTTTCACCACTAGGTAATCTTCATTGACACCAGATTAACTGCAACAATGTCACTAGGAACAAATGTATATTTGTTACCTTCAATACGTCTCTCAGGCCTTGTTTTACTTGTAAGGCATGCATTTGCTCCTGGAAATTAGGGTAATGACATGCCATCTCTTTATTCTCATTTTGGAGCAAGGCATCCTTTTGAAAGATCCATATCCACATTTGAATCCGTACAAATCCCTGATATTCTGACATGGACAAGATTTTGTTAGTACATTCAAGCAGCCATGCAGCCTTCAGGTCTTCCTGCATGGTTATTGTCCTGTTAGGTCTATCTTTAGGACCAAGCATTGTGCTCCATTTCCTGTATTTTTCAATCACTTTTATTGAGGAAAGGTTTGAAGCATGTGTGGGCTGGTAAGCAATGTATTTGTGTGAAAATATGAATGACAGGTTAATTAGGGGGATTAGCTATCAAGAACTGGCCATATCATACATTGCATTGTTTACCTGGATCATCCCATTTTCCTAGGGCAATAAATTTTGTAGGCATATGCCTGTTTCCCATTCCAACAAATTAATACTCTGCATCTACAAAAT